TGTTGTTATATACAGACGCTGCTGCTCCCCTTTCATGTCCACCATGTTGAATCGCCATGTTTCTTACAGTAACGCCCCAAGAGATGACCAAGACAAAACCACTGTGCTTTAAGATAGGGCCTTTTGTGTTTTTGCTAGCAGGGCGAAAAAACCAGATGACACGTGCAATGGTAGACAAGGCTTACATTCCTGTCACCGCAACAGGTAAATAATAGAGCACAAGACCGCAGACACAGTGTCTCATATTTTGCAAGGAATGCTCACCATTTTAAATAAATGAAACCCCACTCATGTTAATAGCAACTAACTCGACACCAGGATCATCATCACGATAAGCTGAGCAGGAGGAATGTGAGAGGTTCAGAGGGTTTGGATCCTCAGAGCTTTTTCGCAATTCACTGTCATGAACTGAGCCGAAAAGTGGAAGAGTTGGAGAGGAGGTAGGGAGGAAGGGAAACTATACTGTATAACTGAGGAGGCAGGGAGTGTTGAGATGTTTATGTAATCTCATCCCTTAACGTCTCCTCGATTTTTGCAAACTTTGTAACCCCCTCTGTGTTGAGTGACAGAATGGGCCTGGGGTCAAGGGTGAACACTACGGCCTTATTCTAGCCCTCAAGGTGGTCAGACCACTGCCTGTTCCGTGGATGGACCGTCTCTGTGAAGCCCTGGACCATTTCCTGTCCCAGGCTTCTCGCCTAATACCAAACAGACCTCTCCGTTAATCTCCTTTCTATTCAGCAGACTGCATGGGTGTGCCGGAAGTGAGGTATTAAATTCTTAATACTTAATACTTCGTAACATGTTTAAACTTAGATATTGGACAATATGATATACTGTACTGTGAGTAGTATTTGAAAAAGTCAACAGCAAATTAAATAAATCCACACAATTTTTTTATGTGACGTTCAAGTTTACCATTGACCAATAGCAAGTTTTGACAGGACAGGAAGCCATTGTAGATTATTGGCTGAAATGCACCTATATTTTGCCATCTATGGGATATTTAAACTGTTCCACAAAAGAGCAATGGTGTGCCTATAGTAACAAGACGAATCAATGTCTGTTGGCAACAAACTAAACACTTCATTATATTAAATTAAATAATGTTTAACCCCAAGAACAAAATATCAGGGGGCAATACATGGCACCGTACAGGCTGCTAGCATTTTAGCAGTTAGCTCATCAGCTACAGTAGTTCACCAACTGGCAATGCGAGTAGTCCGTGTGTCACCAAGCTTTAAAAATTTTGCAAGGATGGTTTGCCCTGGTAGCTCACCTGGTAGAGTTGTGCCCCAAGTATCAAGGCTGAGTCCTTGTTGCAGTGGTCATTACAGGTGTGACCAGGTCTTTATGAGGTCATTATTTCCTTAAGAGATTTTTCAGCACCACATTTAAAATTGGATTCACATTTAGGGGTGGAAACAGAACGCTCTGAGACCAATACCTGAGCCACTGGAAGTAAGTAAGAAAATATCTTTTTAATAATGGGTGTGAACTGATGCTTTAAGCTTGTTATTAAGGAGGATGTAGGTGTATGGAACACTAAGGATAGAATACAGCATCTACTTGTATGTCTCTATACATGTGCCTACATATGTGCATGTGATTTATTATTTATGCATGCAGAGGGAGTGGAAAATCACAGCAGGACAGAGATCAGACTTATGATCACAAAACAAGCCCTGTGCACAAGAGCTCCCTGCTCTGGGATCCCATCTCTCCCATAAAGAAGCTACTGCTGGCAGATGACTCCAGTGTGCTTTTTTATGGGGGGGCACCGGGGGCCAAAGACAAAGACATGTGTTTTCATGCACTGGAAACAGGGTGTGGAGAGTACCTGAAGGTATATACCTTGACTAGATCCATCTACAGGTTTGCCAGGAAGTTTTAATGAGCAGTTTGTGAATGCCAGTGTTTGACAAGCTTGATGATAACCTACACTAAGAAAATGACAAAGACAATGTTATCCCTCCTCTTTCCTTTGTCTTCACTCATTCTGTCTGTTTCTCCATGTTATTTGTCTATTGACGCAAGCTAAAGCTCTTAGCAACATATGTTTGCTGTTTGATATCTCAGTATGTTTTTGATTTAGGAAAGAACAATCCTAATTCTCATATGGCGCCCTCCTAGGATATTTTATTTCAGTGTTCGGTGTACAGATGAGTCATCCATGGGTGGTGTTTTTTTTTCCTCTGAGGTTTCTGCAAGGAAGACACAGCTTTAATTATTATACTTCCATGTCAATTATCAGATTATTGGCTTTCTTGAAAAATCACAGCTTTCCTCTAAATGGATGGCACTAAGTTTGCACTTCAAAAATGTTGACAGTGTCTCAAGTTCAAACGTTTCCTTTCTTGATTTCTTTACTTTGTGATCTACCCTTACCAACCAAACTCAGCCTTACATCAGAGGTTTCCATGCACTATTCATTTACACAGCCTCCCTACAGAGCAGATCACCAACAAAGGCTCTGTGTGGCAACCTTTGGAAAATGAGTGGGTGAGGCGGCTCTCTCATGAAACGCACTGCAAATATTAATGTAGGTTAAAGACAATAGTTAGCTTTTGTTCCTATGAAACCTGTTTGGAGCATATCACCTCGCTTCACCCCGGCAGCAGCCTCTAAGAACGAGTGCTATCTTGTTCAAACCCCCCCCCACCCTCCTGTCTCCACACACACACACACACCTTCACTGCTTATTTCATCCTTCCCCACCTGCAGAAAGACCCTCCCCGGTCATCAGCCACGTATCCTTCCCTGTTTCCGCCTCTGCAACAGATTATCATGATATACTGTGTATTTACATTGAACACCACACTGGCATGCTCAGGTTTGTCTGACGTGATCCAAGAAAAGTCCTCCTTGAAAGGCATAGGTGCCCTGTAATTAGACTGCTCTCATTTCCCTTTAAGTATAATTTTCACCTCCTCTCTCTCTTGCTTGCATATTCTTCCTTCTTCTTCTTCTTCTTCTTCTTCTTCTTCTTCTTCTTCTTCTCCTTTTCATTCCCCTGTCTCTCTCCATTCCCTTACCGTTAACTTATCCACCCTCTTCAGACCAACCCAGTGCTGGAGTATAAATCAGCCCCAGGGACAGGTGGACATCTGCCAGCCATGAGGAGATCTAGGCAGGAATGTGATCACTGATGCAGCTCAGAGAAACTTTTAAATTCTGGCACTAAAGGGACAAAACCTTTTCCGAAACCCCTTGCTCTAGCCCCTGCACCTCCTCTTCATTGATTGAGCTGACAGGGAAAGATATTGGAGAGGTGCCTTCTGCGTTTCTTTTTGTTTTGTTTGCATCCAGGATTTGTTTCAATGAGGGGATAGGGAAAAGCTGAAATTTGAAAAAGAAGCAGTGGGAGGATATTTGATTTGGAGTGATGGGCCTGAAACCCCAATGGGTGCAATATGCAATGCAATTTCAACTGAAGTGAGTGTATCACAAGTTTTTGTGGCTGCTCATATGCTGGCTGCTCAGGTTAGCAAGTGGGTTACTGAGAGAAATATGTGGGATCCGGACCAAGATGTTCTTTCAAGCCCCAGCAGGGTGTAGCACAATAACAGCTCTGCTCTAATGTTGACCCTTTGAAAGAATAAAATGAGCCCTTGATTTCACTGCTCTCAGCTTTTTCTTCCCTATTTTTCCTATGAAGAGTCAGAGTAACACTAATGAAAAATGTCATTATGCCCTCCCCAGCGCATGGCTTTAATAAAATTTGGTGAAGACGAAGCTTGGTGGCCACGAAGATTTACAGCTGAGCCCACTGGGATGGTACACGGCTCTTAAAGTTGAGTAAACGTTGAGCTGGTTGCAAAATATGACAAGCACAAGTTCAGAGTGTGTGCTGTGAACTCGAATATATGTGACTTATAAAACAACGTTATTGTTGCTCTAGTCGTGCGGTTGATCATTGATGCAATCTACCAGAAGAGTTTTTTTTCATGTAGCTCGCAGCTGTTAGCAATTAGTATGTCAACTCCTTCAGCATGGGAGTTGACATATTATTGTGATTACATGTTTACCATGTTTTGTGTGAGGCTGCTTTCACCAAAGCCATATAGCCTTCTCATTATAGCTGTGCACTGCAGTTCTGGGTGGAACGTGACTCCAGTAATAAGTTGCAAATGCTCATAACATTTCTGAATTGACATTTAAAATATAAAGCAACATAAAACCTAGGAGATTCTTCATCATATTGTAAGCATCATCTTCAACTTCATGCATTCTGAGGAAGTGCTTACGACACTTTCTGTCAGCACATTGCAGTTTATATTGCATTAAACAGTGTATTGTGTATATAATTATGAGTAATATCACCAGGGGGTAAATATGTTTTGGTATTTTAATAGACTTTATTTTTTATTTATTTATTTTTTTTTTTTTTCCCAACAGAAGCAGAATAAATGCACTTCTAAATGTATGCATAATAAAATAGTTTGACATTTGGGGAAATTTGCTCATTTGCCTTCTTTCTATGAGTTGTAAGAGAAGATTTTACATCTGTCTGATAAATATAGGCTAATACAGTTAGCATTGCTATGCTAAGCTAAGCTATCTAGCTTCATATTTAGTATGATGTGAAAGTGGTATTGATCTTTTAACTCTAACTCTCTGCAAGAAAGCCAATAATTTCAAAAAATGACAGGCTATTCACTTAAGATTTACAGAGCAACATCACACAACATCCACAGTATTGTTTCTTTGTTGATGTTGTTTTCCTGTCACACTGGACTGTATGGAAAAACTTGAGCAAATTTCCCTGGAGTTGCTTGCTGCCGGTTTCCTTAACAACAGAGGGCAAGTCCCCCCCCCACACCACATCACACCCCACCACACACACACTAGACCCACACACACACACAACCACTTTCCTCCCTCCCCTCTTCCCCGAGCTTGCCCTTTTTAGGCTGTTCCTCTTTTTTTCCGTCTGAAAAGGGGGATAGTATGACAGCTTTTCCTGCTTCTTGTGGATTGGAGCCGGGAGAGAGAAAACTCTGTTACTCACTCCGTCTCCAACTTTGAGAGGAAGTTACCACCTCTTCCCCAGACTCTGTACACACACACGCTCAGGCAGACAAACACACACGCTCTTCAGGACGTGAACACACCAGCAACAGGGAATGAACTGAAAGCAGTCAGGACTGCTTGTAATGCTGTGTTGTTTTTCAAAATTTGGAGGGAAAGAGGGCAGAAATTTGCAGTTTGCCTGAAGCTTTCTGTGTGGACTGAACAGATTCAGAGGGACATTTCTTGTCATCACAGACTGGTGAGTTTATTTCAGTGTATGTGCATTACCATAGAAACCCCAGTGAACCACATCTCTTCTGTAACTGAACTTTTAGGATGGATCAGGTTTTTCTGCAGTTGAGAGCGTCTGTGGTTTTAATTCTCTGCATCTCATGTGAACTAAAACGTTACTTTGGCAGGCTTGTTTAGAGGTGAGTGGGTTTGGGAAAACTTCCATGGGCTATAAAGTTTGATATCTGGTTTCTCATCACAGCAGCTCTAGTAAGTTTTTATTTAACAGGAAATATGAGTTCCTTGTGTGATTGTTTATATTCTGATAAACTGTGGTTAAATGACAAAGAAGTGAAGGAGTTTTTGATAACAACAGAGTAAACAACTCGATAAAGCTGTTTTTTATGCATGTTGTTTTTATAGTAATAACCTATTATCTTATTACAGTATAGCATTATGTTTTTGGCATAATCAGTCCTGGACTAAGCTAAATATCCACATCCATCCAAGCAGTGACATGTTTTCAGCGTATATTCTGTGAACCACTGCCAAAGAGGAGCTGATGCAGCACTTACAGCTGAGACGGGACAGGAGAGCCTGGGTATGGCTTTCCTGTGCAGCTGCACATTATTGGCTAACCTTGTGGCGATTAATTAGTTGTTACCTTGCTACAATCAAAGCAAACATCCTGTCGCTTTTTGTATTTTTCGTGAGGCCAGAAAGAGCACACGTCATGTAATCAGAGACAACTGAGGTGGGAGATCTCAAAAATGTGCCATGAAAAGTATACACATGGTGCATATGGCTCTATTTCTTTTTCAGCTGTTGCCCTTTTTTACATGAGCTCATGCAGGACAGCAGCTAACCACATGTTTCAGCTTCCAAAGCTCTCTTTCTCTCCACTGGACTGTGGTCCGCACCTCTTATCAGGGAGAAAGCGAGGTGATGGGTGGAGGCTGGATAGGGCTGGGCTGTTCTCAGGGGTCTCCATTAATTTACACTATCTGAGTGGGCTGGCAGCACTTTAGCTGTGCCTCCTCCAGTCAATCAGATAACCTTCCATAGGATGAGTGTGGATGCTTATATTAGTTAAGTAACCCCTTCAAGGCTAGCTGAGAAGAGTTGACTTCTGTATGACCTCTCCGAGCTATTCTATGCCAGCAGACTTTCCTTTTCCCAAAACCCCGCTGACTCCCTTATCAGTTGGCCTGTCTTATCTGAGAATGGTTGTTAACTTACTCTATTTACCCAGAGGTCAGAGGTCAGACTCTGATTTGGACTGTCTAAGCTCCCAGGGTACCAATTTGTGTAAGGGAGATACAGAAAGTTTCAGCCCACACAAAGCTGAGATAAGTCAAAAGAAGCCTAGCATAGACAGCTTTACCCAGTGAAAGGAAATAAATACAACCTCTGGCAAGAAAGGTAATGTTTATCACGATAATGATCAGCAAAAAATATCTCCCTAAAGTGGATATTGTCCTGGTCACATGTAAAGAGCAGCTTCTTTAATTTTCAGTTTCTCATTTAGTGTATGGCTTAAGGAGAGCACTATTATATTAAAACATTAATTATCCTGGATTGTTGTAGACCACAGCAATAACAGCGAAGTAGTTTGCAAGTTCAGCAATTTAAGTCTTAATGTATATACATACAGTATAATGTCTCTCTTATGTCCCAGTATTACTTGGACACGCAGAAAAAAATCTGCATAAAGAGTTCACTGTTGGTTGGTCAGTTTCTGCATTGTAGCATGGTGCAGAAAAGCTAGTCCAACAGGAAATGGTAGACAGAGTAAATGGAAAAGCTTCAACATACATAAATTAAAATGAGTTATGATTTCATGATGCAGCTCTGCTATCATGTTCACTCTCTTTTCCCAAACTCTTCAAGGCTAGCTAAACATGGTATCAGTTTAGTCAGATCATTTGTACTGTAGCAGTGGCTCACTGCACACACACACACACACACACACACACACACACAGCAATCTGTGTTTTGGCAGATAATAATAGTTCAGTTTTACACTAAATCATACTGACCTTAACTGACCTACAACTTTGATTGGGCTCTACTGTTGACCAAAAACAGTCATATCAGGACAAATGAATGTAGGAAAAGTTAAAACTACTGTGATAAAAAAAATTTCATGGTGCACATTTGGCCAATGACATGGAGCCATTATTGTTACCCGGATCAGCTGATCATCAGTTGATCTCTTTGAAGCATCCATAACAGAGTGGTGGCAGCAGTACTACTGCTCTTTATGTCCAACTGATTCTGCTGCTGCTGCTGTTATTTTTCAACCAATGCAAATGTTTTTTTATTTTTATTTAAAGAGCCACTGTTATTTTGTGCCATCTAGTAATGCAGTTGCAGATTACAACCCCCTTGCCTCATATTCAGTACTATGGTTATCAGATGGGAGAGTTTATAGATAGCAGCAAGGTTTTACTCAGAACAGTTGTTCTCTTTGATGATGTCATAAACTTGCTGGCCATATATGAATGGTGACATTATCAATATACATGAAGATATAAATGACAAGAACTTATACTCTGCCTACCACAGCTTTAATCTCACTAACATTAAGCAACCGAGAGGATATTTTAGAGTAATAGAAAAGGCAGTTTGATGAATGACGTGTCTCACAAACTGTGTTTAGCAAAGCTCCCATCAACCACTGATGTCTTCCAGGGCTCAGGGCTTATTGCTCTCTAGTAGGAGCTTCACTGGTCAAGACACTCCCCTGTTTAGGCTCGGGCAGATGTTTGACAAGCTAAGTCCAGTGGGTTTGCCTAAGCTTACACTCATATCTCGGATGCGCACACACATACACACACATACGAAGGGGGACACACAGAAACTAAAACACACACAAAAATTTACTTGAACTTGCACATAAGTGGTGGGCTTTTTGTTTTTTTTGTTTAAATTGTATGTTAATATTTGGTCAGACATGATGCAACAGACAAGAACCTCATGTATAGTTGGTATGTTTGTTGTGTCAAACAATATTAGCAAATGAGAGTTGAGCCAAGATTAGTTAGTCACAGTCTGGAGGCAGTATTAAATAGACAATCAGAAAAAAAAAACATTTCTAGGAAGTCCTAGAGGATCAGAACCAAAAACAGCACTGAGATCTCTTTTTTTCTAGACTGTACTCTTGTTTTGGAACCAAATTGCACCAATGCTCCAACCCAACAAGCTTACAACCGTATAGGATATTTAATTCCTTAGCGACAAAAACCAAATGACAAAGCATTAATTTTACCTCTACATCATCTTCCTATGTGGTAACAAACTTTTCAGTAGACATTGAGGCTCTGAGGGGTGTATTTACTTATCCCTCTTGTAAAAATATGATACCACTGTAATTCAAGGAGCACCATGATAATTATGTTGTTGTAATTACTACTGATTGCTAATAAAGGTAAGTAAGTAAGTAATATCTAAAAACAGGCAACAGCCTTGACTTTTACACTTTTAACTCTAAATGTTCCTCTAAATCTCTTGGAGCTGCACCATGACCGCTGTAGAGTAAATGCTACAGACCCAATCATATAAAGGGCAAACACGTGTTTTGTGTCACAGAGTAATCCATAGGGTCCATAATTGACACAGTATGTGGCGCTGGCGTTCTGTTGGATGGTGGCCCAGATCAATGAAAAGGGTGAGATCATAGCTCTATTTTTGGAGCTCTGAGCTTAGGATGATCTAAAGCCCACCCCGCTTTAGAGAATCATAGAGGAATGTTCATATGAATCAATTTTAAACATACAGGAACATACACAGACAGATGCTATACACACACAAATAAACTATGTCCGCAAACACACACACAGCTGTGGTTCCACTGTGGCCTCCTACTGCCATGAGCACTGCTTGATTTGCTTGATTGGTACCGTGATAACGTCAGTATGAAGATGGTACATAGGATATCTCTTCTTGATTTACATAGTAAAGCTTTGCTTCACATCAGGAACACATCTGGGTGCTATTAACCACTTGCCCTTACCCCCAGCTCAGTCCCATATCTCCATTACCCTCCTATTACCTGCCATAGCCCACAAAAAATGCCACTCACTGGACAAGCAGTGCACTGTGGTTCACTTTTTATGACACAAGGATACACAGGGATTCACTGAGGCAAGGGTTGCAGTTACTCTGAGGCAAGCTGGCGTCACACTGGCAAACTGAGTCATGTTGAATTTATAATCCTGCCCTTGTTGAAAAGTGCAGTGTCAAGTCAAATAATATAATAATAATTGGCCAACAATGCCTGACTGGTTTGATTCTGTGTTTACTCCTGGAAAAGTTTTTTGTCCTCAACAGAAAAGCTGTTGTTCATTGAGTCTATGTCAAAAAAAGTACATGCCCAAAGCCAAATACATCAACACATGAAAAAAACAAAGCTTTCTTTCAGCTCTATATCAAACACTCAGCCATACTTAAGAACTTTGGATAAGATCGAATCGTCTAATGGAACAAAAATGTTTGAATGTTGCACAAACAATACAGGTCTGGATCAAAATCAAAATTTATTTCTAGCTAAGACCCACTCAAGAAGAAAACTTAATAAAAGTCGGGCAAGTTCTAACTTTGCATTTGCATTTGTTTCTGGCGGCACACTGTAGTTCAGACTAGGGTCAAACATGATTTAAAATATGTTTGTCTGTTTTTACCTACAGAAAGTGTTAGATGGGGGGGGGGGTTTCATGTTTAATTTAAGCTACATTCACACTGCAAGCCTTGTTGTTTTTCTCAGATCAGATCCAAACAAATATTACAGTGGCACAGCTGGTATTTCTGACACACCAGGAGAAGTGTTACCTGTGTGTTAATTGTATGTGCAATATTTTATTTTCTGTGGTCTGTTTAACTCTTCAAGTACAAGAGTAAAACAAACTATAAAAGTAATGCCAATACTCTCTGCTCCAGGTCAGTTTGAGGTCAACCTCACCTGGTGCTCCAGGTCCCTGTCTTGATGGCAACCACATGCCTGTCTTGTTTCCAAATGCAACAGTTTTCCTCTCAGTCAGATCCTCTGGCAGGCCTTGACATAGTGGAAGCAGCACTAACAGTTCGCACAGCTTGAAACCCAAGATCTTCATGTCAAGAGCAACTGGGAAGAAATGCACGCTTACTTTCTCCAGAAATGTCCTTTGCAACCTTCTTGGATATGAAGAAAGCTCACTGTGGAGAAATTACCTTCACCCTGTGGACGTTCATGAATGCTTTCACAGACATTGTGAACAAGGATCTCGGTTTGGACAGTGTTTCTGTTTATCGGGTGGAAAGTGATCGCCTGCACCTCTGCTGTTTTGGGGGTAGCTTGAAGTTCCATTATGTTTTAGGACTTGGAGACAGTTTTCTGGCTTGATTACAGGTGTGTGATAAATTGCTCGTAGAGACATCCAGCAGACACTTTTGTGATACAGTTTCAGATTCTTTGGCAGTTTGAAGGGTACTGTTAACCTTTTATCGTCCACTGAAAGAAATTTCCTCATGTGTGAGGGAATAACTGAAACTGAGCTTTGATTAGTATATTTAGCTAAGGGGGACACACAGCGTTTCAGAATGTGCTCCGCAAGCTGAAAATAGTGAATAAATTACCCAGAATGGTTTGTTTGATGCTGTGCATCATTAAGACCAGACTTGATTTTCTTTTCAGTAGCAGCCGCAGAATCAAAGAAGGAACTTTTAAATGAACATAATCAAGAGCAAGAATACTATGTAAGATGCTATAAATTCTAATTTACAACAGCTTCTGTGATCTCCCTCACAAGAGACAGCCTGTGTGTGGACTTTAAAAACAATGAAATGTGATTAAATTTAAATCTGGCAGTTTTCAGTCTCTGAAGCTTTGTCCCAGGCGAACCGCAGAAAGACCGTCCGTTGTGCCAGGAATTGTTGCGGCTGCACAGAAATTCAAGGTATTAAAAATATGTCTTCCCCTCTGCGGTTCGGCGTGTGTCATTACAATGAGTAAATAACACCGACTCACTCCCTTGTGTAATCTGACCGTTTCATCTTCTGTGTATAAATCAAATGTGGCTTGACTCCCTGCATAATTTCCACTGAAGGGGTTATGACTTTGACATGATTTCTTCATTGTGAAAGAGGAGTATTGTGGTTGGATGGCTTATGAAACAAGCATTACTGGTGAAGTATCTAGGGAAAAGTGCTTCTATTCTGTGACAAACTTTTGCTTTGGAGGTCTGCCCCTGTTAGGAGGTAGCTAATAAATCACCCAGTTGACATCTCAGCTCAGTCATTCTGTCTTAACATACTTATCTTAGACAATAGCAGTGATGCTGAAGGAGGGCTTTAACCGGGATGTTGTTCCTGCGGAAAGGGACAAAGGATGGACCAATGTGGTCTCCAAGTGGATGACAACAAAAATATCACACTACATGATAGTTTGGAGTTTTTTTTTTTACTCAGCTCCTCCATCCAAACCAAAGCAAACAATGCTCAGTCAGAAATAATGTTTGACCTCTTCTCAGGCTGCAACACCACACCATGCTGTGTTTATGCTGGCTTCAGTCTGAGCACATTTTCTGCAGTGACTTCACATATAAATAACTCCGCTGATGGACAGATTTTGGGAAGAATTAGCTGAGTTAGTTGCAACCTTTATCATTTGTTACTGGGATTATATTTTGTTTTGGTTTAATATGAGATAAAGACATGAAGACATGTTTCCCACACAGTTGAAGTCATATCAGGATGGGTTAAGTGATTATTTAATAGTCAGCAGCGTGCAAAGGACTCAGGAAGGGGATGCCTGAGTCTTTGACCTCAGGATATGAGGCCAGGAAAGAGCAAATGATAAGCTAGCAGGGATAAAAAATAGGACTAAACATTAACGTCACAGGAGCTCAGACGTGGCACAAAGGCACGTGCTGCCAAAGGTTTGGCTAGATCATTGGAAAATTACATTTTAGCTGTCTTATATGTTTTTTTATGCATTTGACTCTTTTTTGATAATTATATAACTATTATAACTTTAAAAGCTTGTATTAAAAGACAACACAGTTGCATTGAAATACTTGTTGAGGTTTGCAATAACACCATATGGTGTCCTGATTCTTGAGATATTCTCACCTATATGGCAGAACAGTTGGTGTGAAGGCTCCCACAATTCGTCACTCCACAAAAGTTGCAGTTTGGAGTGTGAGAAGTAAAAAGCTTTGTTTGATTGTTTGTTTATTTGATTTATGCCAAAGTGCATGGCCATCCTGGTCCTATCCAAAGTAATGAAATCACTAAATGCAATTGTAATTGCTACTTTGTGTTAAGCTGTCATGGTTATTGTCAATATCTGAATATGTCAAGAGATTATGATTATGTCAGGAGCCATAATTTGAGGACTGCTGTTTTTAGTCATAATATTTACATGGGGGCTTTATAATGCAACTTAAGCCTGAGTAAAACATGATATGACTAAATGAGACATCAAATCACTAATGCATGACTCCTTTGTTATAATTAAGATTTCATTTTCAAGGCTGTAGGGTAGGGCAACATCTGCAATAGAAAAGCAAATTGGGTCACTTGGAGAAAATTACTGAAAGTTGAATCATGGGATAGTACATAGCTGGGGAGGAGGAGGTCTGTTAATAATTTCCTTCTTGGGGTGAAACAAAAACACAACAAAACAACAGGGCAGGATAATTAGTGTTTAGATAGGCTTTAAACAGGTCTCCAGTTGTCATTAACCACCAGTAACAGATGCCTAAGTCCTGATGAAGCTCAGGTTTGCTGCATTCCAGTGTGAGAAGGGGCCAGTTACTGTACTGTAGGTGTCCAGTCATTAGCTTTGACCTTGGCTAGGAGAACGGCTGTAGTCATTCGAGCCGTTCGCTTTATTACCCTTGAGACAAAAACAAAATATCTCATTGAAATCCCATGTTCCTCAGCTCTGCTTGGATAATGATGAATAGATCCCATTAGTAGGGAGGGATTAGTCTCTGTGGGGGGGAGGCGATGAACTTGTTCATAATTGAAAAGAAAGGAAGGAAGCTCGACAGGAAGACAACGCGTAGGTCCATCCCTATGGCGCACTGCAGAAACAAAAGGCCCATCGTCTTGCTCCCGTGGGGACCGAGGGGGCGGCCTGGAAAGCATGTTGCTATAGTGACCGCTCTGTCACTTAGCCCCCGAGCGCTGTCTCAGTCAGGCGCTCTGTAGTGTACATAGGATCTGCCAAGAGTCAGCAAGATCAAAATCTGCCCTGGAAAGCACAGAGGCTTTGCTAAACCAACTGCAGCTGGCAGAGGAGCTTTTTCCTAAACAGGCCTACAAGTTAGAAAACTTCACAGCGCAGCATTTTTAACAGCTCTCGATCCCCCACCTGGCATGTAAAGGGGTTTTATTGAGTAAAAGGAAAGTGATTCTAGGGTTCTTGTTGTAGGATTTTAGAAAGATTGTGTTGCGGTGTGAGTTGCTAGAGACCTAAAGGGACTTTGGTGTAGCAGGAACACTTGAATGTTTTGTTCCCCCTATTCTGTTTTCCTCCTGCTTTAGAGTCAAACTGAAATTTTATTTCTTCTTACTTTTTATGTGAGAGAATATAAACTGTAATGATACATGCAGTTACTGTGCATGTTTTTTTTTCTCCATTTTTCAAAAAAGGACAAAACTGTTTTTGGACATCAAAACAACTTGTAAGCCAGATTTCTGAGGATAAGAGCTGACAGATTTTGTGGTGCACGACAGACTGTAGCACATCATAGCCTTGTATAGCCTGCGAACATTGATACAAGAAGCTTTTTTCCCCTTTCCCAAAAAGTCCATTTAGGGCTGGCTATGTGTCCACATCTGCCCCTTCAACATTTTCCCATTGTGCTGTTAATTTGGCATCCCACTCAGAAAGTGTAAGCTTGTAAGCTTGTAAGCTAGGCTAATTAGCTTCCACTCGGAAAGTTGAAGCCAGACTTTTTTTTTTAATTCATGTTCAACACCTGCTGAATCATCGGCAGCTCCCACACACTCTGTGACTGTGTTTATTACACAATACACGAAAAGAGGGGAGTATAGCTAATGTTAACTGTCTCTCTGTAATAGGTGCAGTTGTGGTGACTGCAAATGACTGGGCTATAGTAGTAGTCCTGTAACCTCAGCACTGCATGCTTTAATATAGAGTTTATAGAGTAACTAATGTACAAAGTCAAAGAGCTCAAATCACAGATGAATCTAGGTAAAGATTAACAACGTTGCCCCCCCAGCTGGTTCACTCCCTTTTGGTACTGAAGTTATGCAACAAACTAGTTCATGCAAACACCGACATTGCACCAATACAATTACAGTAAGTCAGTCGGAACCTAAAATTCAGGAACCTGCTGAACAAAATAAAAGTGTATTATTTTTGGTAATACAGTTTTTACCAAGAAGTTAGACAAATCCGAAACAAATGCGGTATAGCCTATATCTTCTGGTTCTTTGGTAAAATATTTTTTTCAGTAGGACCTTTAAAATATTGTTTGCTTTGCTTTTTCATATTGCAATATACAGCCTGAACATTCCTGTGTTTTTGCAGTCACTGTGCATTTACTGTGTACAGCTCAAGACAGCACAGTTCCTTCCTCTCCTGTATCGTGCAATAGGCCTGTCGTTGTTTGCATTGCAGACACCTCAGTGAGTTTGGATCTAATGTAGCTTGACGTCTGTGTGTGTGTCTGTGTGTGTGTTTGTTTGCTCTTGTCTGTTTAGCCTGAGGACCAAAGATCACAGTCCCTGATCCAGCAGCAAGTGAGAGAGAGAGAGAGAGAGAGAAGTGGAGTGTGATCATTTTGCATCCATTTTCCAACTTCTCATTACACTATGAGCTGGGACTGAGGAAGTGCTCCAAAGTTTAATTTTGTGGTAAGTTTCATACTTTATTTGTGCTCTACTTTCTGTTTACTTCTGCTTTAACAGGATAATTTTTGCTTTGTTTAAAGTTTATTAGTGGGCCACATTACATATGGTTTACACATGTGTTGTTTTATGTTTGCATTTGACTGAAAGCTGCAGCAACAAATAAGCACAAATGCTGCATAAATCATTCTCATTCTCGTGATGAAAATCAGGGTCTGAGGTTATCAGTGGGTACGATTTGAAGGTAAATGCAAACACAAACATGTGGTTTGTGCAATTTGAGGACATCCATATGATCCATGTGTAGGCAAACTGACATATGGTTCAACTCAGAAAGCAGTGCACTCAGGTTAGAGTGGGGCGGCTTCAGAGTTCGTCATCATTTCGCATGAACAGAATGTTTTTTCCACAGCCAGCCACAACACAAAGCACATGTTAAAGGAGAATGGCGCTAACATGACTTGGAAGCATGAAAGGCTCCTCCTTTTATTTTGAACTGGTCTCTCCTCTGTTGCCATCAACACTCTTATGTGTGTTATGGTGCAACACCATGATGTCATTAAGCTAGGGAGGTGGAAATTGTTCACAAAGTGGAAGAAAAAAAGCCAAAGTCAGCAGGAAAGGGCAGCATGTTGGGGGAGGAGGGGAGCTGGGGAAGGTAAATGGAGGAAATGCAGAAAGACACGACCCTGGTTCAATGTTCCGTGGTGGCAAGTCCAATAAATGATTTTTTCAGATGAGAAACAGGCTTGTTTCTCCTGAAGACAAAATCTGCTGAGAGAGGAGGTAGCATGAAGGTAACACAGAGGACTGAATATAGATAATTACTGAAAACAAAAACCAGACTGCAAAGGACAATGAACATGAACTGTTCTTGTAACTCATCTGCGGCTCCAAAGGTTCTACTTCCTTGGGAGTGTTAGGAGTCATGACTGCACGCAGGCCGGTTAAAAACACAATAGAGCTCCTCGGACCAACAGGAAAAAAGGAGGAGGACAGATAATTTAAATGTCAGGGTTACGATGTCCAAACAATACAAATAAGACAACAACGCACTGGCTTTTAGTCTGGGCTTCACAAATTGAGTCCCTTCAGGCAGGAAGGAGTCCTTTGTGACTACTTGGGAAATTGACTCTTGACCTCTTTTATAGAGAGCTGTTAGGGTTCAGAGAGAATGGCAGAGGCAGAGTGCCATGTGCCAAATGCGTTATGATGATCCCAATTGAAGGCAGTACTTTAGGAGGACACAGAGGGGCTTTTGTTTGACTCTTGGAGGCCTCATCCCAACCGTATGAAAAAGTACTGTGGTCAGTGGGTTTGACATTCAGGCACTGAACAGAATGTGTCACTGGAGGAAGGGTGCTCGAGAAGTATTTCAAAGACTTTTAGCACCTGGAAGAGCAATTACATGGTGTCTAGTTGCATTATACACAAACGTCAGATTTAATATGCCGTGTTATACTTTTGTCGTTCTTCAGGCGTGAAGAAAGCTGAGCGAAGATCACCATGGATGTGAAGAAAAAAGAAATGGACCTCCTGAGCAACAGCATAGCTGCATATGCACACATTAAGGGTAAGTCACACCATGGCACTGCCTTAGTGAACTCTATTCAAAATATGAATAACAACATTTTACTCCATCTGATTTTATTCTTTTTGGTCCTTTTCTTAGCAAACCCAGAGAGCTTCGGCCTTTACTTTGTGCTCGGAGTGTGTTTCGGCCTGGTGCTGACGCTCTGCCTCCTGGTCATCCGGATCTCCTGCAAGCCGCGGACCAACATCGCCTCAACCTCCACGCCTGAGAAGAAACACTTAAAGGACATCAGTGAGGAGGACGAGGAGAGTGAAGATGATGAAGATGAAGATGGGGATGATGTAGAGGCACCTATCCCTTTACCCAGCACAGAAATCCCTGTTGGTAATCACACCAGCCAATCAGATGGGACACTGAGTGTGAACGTATTTACTTCAGCTGAGGAGCTGGAACGGGCGCAGCGACTGGAGGAGAGAGAACGTATCATTCGTGAGATCTGGAGAAATGGCCAACCTGATATCCTGGGGTCGGGAACAGGGACTATTGGAAGAGTGCATTACTACTAGGATACACAAGGCTTCAAGGGAGCTCTGTGAAGGACAGACGTAGACCTTTGGGTGGGCAAGATGTCCCTGAAGCCTGTAAGACTCGAGAGCCTGTTTTAGATACAATGCAACATCATGGAAACAGGACAACAGTGATGTGATGCTTATGCCAATACTTGGCTCTGACAGAGCTGAACTGTGATATTGCACTTCCTATGTAGCAATGTTTGTGTTTAACTGACTTTTAACTTTTAAACCAAGAGGTGTCTTAAAGACTGATTAATCCATATGGAAAAGATGCAGTATGAATGTGGGAGCTGATGGACACTTGAAGTAACCTGTCTATTAAAATGTATGGCGCTTAATGATGAAGAAGCACACAACAACTAGGCTAATGTATGTAATAAGTCAAAAGGAGATGTAAGGACAATGTATTTAGGCCTGTACTGTACGTTGCAATGAAGATTATTTGTTTGCAGAAAGGACAATTCTCCTCTGGACTGGTGAGTTTGTGGGGGAAATTTTTCTCCAAGAAGATACTTTCACTGTTAAAGGAAATTACATTGTTTGAACAAGCACATATCAATCAATTTGGGGCTGTCAGATTACACATATAGAGCATGTAAAGACAATTAAAATTGGCATCTTTAATTTATGATCACATTAAATCCATGTCTACAGGGATAATTCCACCAACAGAAATTACAGAATTCAAGTATTAAGCTGAAATAATTGACTGTTGTTTCTCTTCATAATGCCTTTAATGTCAGAGAAAACGTACAACAGTGCTCATTCTCTGCGTACCTTTGGGCCATGGATTTATAATCAAGATAAAGAGAGAGCCTAAATTTGCTATTAAGATTCATGGAAAGGTCACTCTTTGTCTTTTGATATTTCTGTACAATGTCTCTTGTTAAAAGGTTAGAAATACAGTTTTTGTTTTGTTTTTTTAAATAAAATTTGTGGGAACTCCATAACAGTCTCCTTCGACAGTAAAGGTCTGGTAATTTCCTTCCCAAAGGGAAAACCCTGCGTTCAGGTAGTACTCCAGCCGTAACGTAAATCAAGCACACCCTTTGTGTGAAGGCGGTCCATTTAAACTGTCAGCACCTGATTCGTTAATATTGGCTTCATGGGAAACACATTATGGCTATTTGTCAGCACAAGAACAGTCAATTTTCACATTTTCTTCCAGCACTTCTATTTGGCTTTGGTTCAGAGAAATGTTTCAGCTGGATGATGGTGCTGCTAATCACAACATTTCCATAAGAGAGCCATCTCCATTTGCTAAATTGTAATACTCCCTGATTAGGAGGTTGTGTTCTAGGACATTGGACACACAGGAACCAAGTACCGGGGCCCACACAAAAGAAGTTATCACATTAGATCAGTATATTCCCTTTTTTGTTGTCTTGTTGGTGCCTTGGTCAAGGAAAATGTTGTTGTCACTTGTTTTCAACTGTTGCTTCTGTTGTAGTTTTTATTGACAAAACATACTTACCAGGAAAGTCAGTGTGTTACTATAAGGACGGTTTTATGTATAAAAACCATCTACTTTTCAATCCCTCGCTCCCCGCGGTTGGGTTACTTCATCTCCATTAACAGACCATTCTGGCCATTTCAATTGTTTGACAACTTGCTTCACGCTCAGCACCACGGCTAAGTATGCTAATTCTGACATGATGTTTGTGAATAGCTGTGTTATGTTGATGTTTTGTTGTGCTGGCAATGTGAGGAAATGGTTTCATTACTGGATTTTTGATAGGTCTGCTAATCACAAACATTTCATAAGAGAAGCCATCTCCATTTGCTAAATTGTATACTCCCTGATTGGAGGTCTTGTTAAGGAATGGCACACAGAACCAGTACCGGCCCAACAAAGAAGGTTCTCACTAGATAGTATATTCCCTTTTGAATTGTCTGTGGTTGCCTCTGCAAAGGAAATGTTGTTTGCTCACTTGTTCAACTGTTGCTTCTGTTGTGTTTTATTGACAAACATATTACCAGAAAGTCCAGTCGTGTTACTATAAGGACGGTTTTATGTATTAAAAACCCATTATTTTCATCCCTCGTCCCCCGCCGTTGGTCTCAACTTCTCTCCATACAGACCACTTCCTGCCTTCACTTGTTGAGAACTGCTTCCCGCTCAGCACCAGGCTAAGTACTGCTAATTCTGACATGTGTTTTGTGAATTAGCTGTGTTATGTTGATGTTTGTGTGTGCTTGGCAATGTTTTTTAGCTCTGCATAGGAATGGTGAGTTGTTCTATCCACCACATTGATCCTGACTGTATTTCAACAACTGAGGGGTTGCCATGACATTTGGTATAAACATTCCTACAAATACATTTTAAAGATTGTTAGTCATGTTAGTGCTATTATCTAATTCTCAACATCTACTTCCTGGCTCACAGAGGATGCATCCTTATGACTCTAGATCTCCTGACTGGTCCTCTAGTGTCAGAAGCAATTTAACATTTTTGGTTTTAAGTACTTATTAGATCGTAATAATATGTTAGATTGGCACAGAATTTTGTACATTCATGGTTGCCAGACTTATCCTAGTAACTTTGGTGATCCTCTGACTGGCAGCCATGCAGGCAAAATTGTCAATACTTTGATTTACAACCAAATACCTACAAAACTAATTGTCCTATCAGCCTCAGCTGTAATTTGAGTTTAGTGATAAATAGCAAATGTTAGCATGCAAGGATGCTGTATATGCTGGCTGCTTGTTTCTGCTCTTATATTGATACTGTATATGCTGGCTGTTGTTTCTGCTCTTATATTGATACTGTATATGCTGGCTGTTGTTTCTGCTCTTATATTGATACTGTATATGCTGGCTGTTGTTTCTGCTCTTATATTTGATACTGTATATGCTGGCTGTTGTTTCTGCTCTTATATTGATTATGCTGTGTTGCTTTTCTGCTCTTATATTGATACTGTTATATGCTGGCTGTTGTTTCTGCTCTTATATTGATACTGTAGTATGCTGGCTGCTTGTTTCTGTCTTATATTTGATAAACGGTATGCTGGCTGTTGTTTTCTGCTCTTATAATTGCATACTTATATGCTGGCTGCTGTTTCTCCTCTTACGCTGCTGAAATTAGTTGGTTCTTAATTTCTATTCTCATGCTAGCTGCCATTTTCTGCTTGTATGCTGTTAATAATATGTGTGAAGTATTTGCATTGGTAGCAATTGTGAATATAATTAAGTTACCAGTAATTAATAATGATTTTTTCCCCCTGTTGTTGAGTTCAATTTCCCTCCTGACTGTTTGGCATTCTCTGATGCTTTTGATGTGGGCTTTAATAATTTTGTGGCATATTTCCTTCTACGTTGTTGACATTGTTTGTGGGGGGCTTGTGGTTTGTACACTGGCATCTGGCATGTAAACATGACTCATCCTGTACACAGCCTATTTATATAATTATTGCACTGTTAATACCGTAATATTGGCTTCATGGGAAACACATTATGGCTTTTGTCACGCACAAGACAGTCATTTTCACATTTTCTTCAGACACTTCATATTTGGCTTGGTTAGAGAAATGTTTCAGCTGGATGATGGTGCTGCTAATCACAAACATTTCATAAGAGGAGCCATCTCCATTTGCTAAATTGTATACTCCCTGATTGGAGGTTTGTTTAGGAATGGCCACACAGGAACCAGTACCGGCCCACACAAAGAAGGTTCTCACTAGATAGTATATTCCCTTTTGTTGTCTGTGGTGCCTTGCAAGGAAAATGGCCTACACATAGCACATAATAGCTGGTGTCAGGCTCTGTATAATGTGGTTTTTGGGGGGAGTGTATTAACGTCACTTACAAAACTCTGGTGTTATGACTGGTGTGTGCTCGCAGGGAGGGACGAGGTCAGAGCTTTGATGGCCAATATCAACTCAGTATTCACGTAACAAATGTGTTCCACGTGAGTCGGTGGACTGAAATATTGTTGTGCTGCCAATAACGACTTAAAGAATCCTGACGGATTGCCTACAGTGGGCAAATGTTTGTACTGGACATTATCACAAGTCAAACTTTAGTGGTTTGGTGATTCACAAGTTATGTATGAGGTATGAATTCTTGGCATGTCAATAAAGCCATATGAAAGGGAAAATATACTAAATAATCATCTGTGTATGGCCTGTGTCCACATTCTTTCTGTTGGCCAATCTGGAGTCAGAAACTTAAGTCGGTGCTGTGAGGCTGATGCAATGTTGCTTGGAGGAAGGTTGTTGGTTGGACATAGAGGCAGACCAAGAACTTCCTCCGTGGAGTCGTCCTCGAAGTGCAAACTTTGGAGGAGCAGACAGGCTTCAGGTTTGCTTCGGGGCCCCACTCTGTTTTTAGATGGAGCCCACACTGAAGACCTCTCTGTTGAGGTCTTGGAAAAGCCTCTCATGTGGTCACAGGCTTTCAGAAATCAGTGGCGTTGATGGTGTGGACTCTTTGAAGTAGCTGTGTAATTATCTTTTGTATAAACCTCTTGAAAATGACGTCTACCTAAAAATCATAGGACCCAAATAATGTTTTACTATACCCACGATTCAGTAGTTCGAATAGTGTCTTTTCCATTTTACAGGATGTAATCATGATCACATGTAATTAGAAGCAACATATTTTAGCCTCATGGTAATTATGCAGTTATGAAACAATACATCAGTAAAATTAAGTGAACACCAACATGAGGGAAATCCAGTTAGGGGAAAGCCATGAATCTCAACCTCAACACGGCGTGGGAAAGATCTCTTCAAAGACGAGCGCAGCACAGACTGTCTTTTGTGGTCTTTTGGCTGTTTCCAGAAATGGCCTTTACAAATAATAACATATATAGCTGCATCAATGCTATTTAACCACTTCTTTAAATAGCTAAATTAATCACATTTTACCATAATAGCCAAGTTAGAAACCTTTTTGAGTCAAAAACTGCACAAAAAATATCATTCTAAGGGTACATGCAGTATTTTGGGAGTGCTTTTTGATTCTCCTCGGTAAAAGTCTCCATATTAAAACAGAATTTTTTAATATGCGGCAGATTTATTGCCATTTCCCATGAGGTCATGCATTTGTTCCTGCATCTGCCCAGCTCTTTTCTTTGACAGAGACGAACTGTTCTCTGTCAGTTCAGCTCCTCTTTCTCTACTTCTAATTTTAACTCAGAGGGGTTTTTTTTGTATTTGACCTCTGAGCTCCAAACTGCCTCAGTTTTCAGCACTCAGTTTTCAGTACTCCAAACAGTTCCACTTTACTTGTCTTAAATTCCTCCTACATTATGGTGCACTGTGCTGCGTTAGCATAGTCTGAGACCTACAGTAGAGAGTCAAATATTTAAGTATTATAATTTATTGGAGCGCAGCAGCATCCATCATCATTGACATTACTAAATATTTTAGAGGTCTGTCAGTGAAAAAGTAAAATCTTCACTTGTGTTTGCAGGCCAGAACTGAAATGGCTCCCCCCCCCCCAGAAAATGTCACTATGAACTAATCCTTTGTTTGTTTAGTTTAATTTATTTCACCCCTTGTCCAAGAGGGAATGTACCCTTAATGACCATTATTCAACAAGGTTTTTAAAAATAGTATGTTCCCATGGCAGTTTCAGAAGCACACGGTCCCTGATGAGCTCCAGATGTCGTCCAGATGTGCTTTACAGTGGGCAACGCTAGTAGGCTTAGACAGGAGCACACCACCACTACTACCACAGTCGCCACCATTTGGAGCCAAAACCGTTTCTATGCGTATAATGCTGAAGATGGCGCAGTCCAAATAAGTTAAATGGCTCTCCCTATGGTGGCTGTAAAGAATTTGTCATTAATTCTCTTCACACATTCTTTACATCCATCACGATGAGTCACTATGTTCAGAGTTTTCAGAGTGAGTCAGTTTTTCTCTGAGTGACACTGGATGACTTTTCGACAAACTCTGTGTAACTCCTGAAGCATTTCAACAGCAATTTTGTAAGATTGTTT